AAAGCACTTAGCACAGTGCCTGACACATAGTAAGTGCTATATAGATGTTAGCTATTGTTATTTTTAGCTGTAATTGTTAGGACATCGATTTTAAAACCGTTTCTTTGCAACTGTCGCCCAAAGCTCCTAGTGCGACTCTTTGGGGCCAGACAGAACTAGTCTAATCCCTCTTTCTGTGTGACAGCCCTAAACTATTTGAAGAGTGCTGTCATGTCCTTCTAGAGCCTTCTCTTCTCCATCTTCAACACCCCTTGTTCTCTTAACCTGTCCTCTTGTGAGATGGACTTAAGGCCCTTCACCATTATGGTTATCCTCCTGTGGATTCTCTTCAGATTATTGGTACGCTGCTTACATTGTGGCACCCAGGACGAAATACATGATGCCAGATGTCATCTAACTAAGGCAAAGTAAGACAGGACTGTTACTTTTTTTATTCCTGAAAACTATGTCTTTCTTAATATGTTCTAAGATCACATTAGCTCTTTTGGCTGCCACATCCCACTGCTAACCTATTGATTTTGCAGTGTGCTAAAACCCCCAGATCTTTTTCAGAAAAAAACTGCTGTCTAGCCATGCCTTCCACATCCTGTATTTTTAAACCCAACTGTAAGACTTTTTATCCCTATTGAATAGTGTCTTATTAGGTTCAGCCTAATGTGACTTGTCTTTGATAAAGTCATGCTGGCTCTTTGTCATCACTTACTGCTTCTTTTGCTAGGTTGTTCACTAATCCTCTCTTTAAAGATATTCTAGAATTTCTCAGGAAATGAAAGGCAAGCTCCCTGACATATAGTTTGCAGATTCTGTTCTGTTCTTCTTCTTCTTCTTTTTTTTTTTTAATCGGAGCGTTTATTCTCATCTAGTCCTGCGGTACCTCCCCCATTTTCCATAATTATTCAGTCATCTCTGACGGTGTAAATTAACAATCACACCTGCTGCTTCTTTGTTCTATTAAGTAGAAACAGGAGCTGCTGTTGGCACTGCTGCATCTTTCCCAGAGACAGCCATTCAGGATCTTTGGTTATCATTATGATGCAAGCTGTGTAGGTGGAGCAGGGAGGAGAAAGAACATCACTGTCACGTCAAAAGTAAGGATCTAAAGCAGATGCTTGTGACAAGGAATCTCAGCCACTCTGTAGACAGGAGTCCCATTGCGGGAGATCATAACCCTTCATACCCCTGATCTTCTTCACTCATGCCTCACATTGGGGATGGGGGCTCTCTCCCAGAGGACCTCTCAGTGAGACAGCATCTCTTGACCAAAGGTTCTGGGGGCATACTTTCCCTCTCCTCTTCCTACTCAGTTGTCTTGTATAAGTCACCAAAGGGGCTGGATGAGTCAGAGCTGACACAGAGATTGGGTAACTTATTCATACACAGCAGCATCCTGTCTGTGGAGGGGCTGGGATGCAGAGGTAGCTGAGAAGAGATTGCACAGTCAGTAAAGCTCTCCATAGGTCCTTCTGCCCCATGGCTAGATGGTCATGCAGACCTGGGGTCTCAACCTAAAAAGGAGGTGAAATGGGTGGTATTAGGGGGTCTTCTGGAAGGCTTGGGGAGAAAAAGATGCTTGCGTGATCTAAGACTGGGGGCAGGGATATACATGGCCGTGATGTTTGTTTCTCCCCAGGCTTGTGGGTATGTGTGTGTGATGGGGGGGTACTTAGGACATGGGATGACTTTTCATCCACTTCTACTCTTTGCCTCTGGTTTAAAAAAATTCTTGGGTTTATGAAATATTAGTTCTAGGTCCCTTTCCTACATATCTTACTCTGTCTACCCTGCCTGCCTGCAGAACCTAGAAAGACTCGGGTCATGCAGATGGAATAATGGAGGTCCAGAGTTGGGGAGGGAGTTGTCCAAGGTCATGCAGATTCTGGTCAGAATTTACACATCTTCATTTTTAGCTCTCGCCCCATCTTAAAGCAGCAGGCTTGGCTGACCTAAGGAAGGGCTGCTATCTGTCCCTGTTAGAGGAATCCTGGTGGCTCTGGGAATTCTCTGATGAAGGGAAGTCCTGGGCTTTCCCCTTTCTGTTTCCATACATGGGTGTCCTTAGCCACAGTTGCCTTTTCCTAGGATCAGAAGTCTTGGCAGCCAAAAGTGGTGGAACAGGAAGAAACCAGGGATGTCAGTGACTTTAGGAAAGCTCCAAAACATTAAGCTGTCAGGGCCAAAAATAACACTACTATGGTAGTGATAGTAGTGGTAGTAGTAATGGGAGAGCACTGTTATTTCTCCAGGGAAATGAAGAATGGGAAAGGAAAGAAATACGCATGCACTAGGCACCATAAACAAAGTCCAAACAATGGAGGCCAGATGGGTTCCCTTGACAGGAAGCAGCCTTGGAAGGGACATTCCCCCAGCAGATTACTCCAAAAAGTTCTTTCCACTCAGGCACCCTTTCCAGGCATAGGTGGTATTCACACAAAGGGTAGGTAATCCACAAGGGCCTGATTCCTCTGCTGGTCTGTTTGTTATGTTGAAAGAGGAACTGACTGCAAGGAAATGAGTGATTCCCTTGGGTATTGTTGTTAGAGTTAGAACTTTTCAACCTGGCCTTCAGAGGCCTTCCACAACTTGGTATCACCTATTATACTCTCACTCATCACATTTTAGTACCTCACATCACACTCCTCACCAAGTATACTATAGTCCATCCAAACTGGACTGTTCTCTGTGGAACGGGATGTCATATCTCAGATTCTCTCCTTCTGTCCCTAAAGCAAGAAGACAGCTAATAGCAACAAGTAACCAACTGCTTCCCTATTTTTCCCCCTGCAGTTAAGCTCTGCAGAATTAGATAAGATACCCCTATGTGTCAATGATGGGTCTTTGGGCAAGATTCATCTACATTTCAAAGGAACTCTCAGATGGGAGAGGGGTTGAGTATGTTGCCTATGAAAGCCATGGAGCTAGTGGAACAGCAGTGGCTGGGGAGGATTCAGGAGCTATGGGGTTTTAATTGGGGGTAGATTTGAGTTCCCTCTAGATGGGGATGCTAATCTTCTACCACAGACCCTACCTTAGAGAGGAACTAGGATGAGGTGAAAAGCAGGGGTCAGGATTGGGGATAAGGGGAGAAGTACTAGGCAGCAGTAGGTTCTGCATTTATAAGGTGGGAGGAAGGGGAAGGGTACAGGGCTGGGGAAATCCTAAGCAATGGTAGCTGGGAGGGACTAGAAGTTCCGATGGCTCTCTGGCTAGAGTGAGTGTTTCTGGCTAACCATTGTCAATGTAAGATAATGTGGTGCAGTGGAGAGAGTGCTAGCCTTGGTAACAGGAGGATTTGGGTGTGAATCTTGCCTCAGAAGCCTCCTTATCTGTGTGACCCAGGGTAAGTTCCCTAACCTTTCTCAGCCATACTTTATGTACAAAATGGGGCTAATAATAGTATCTACCTTCAGAGGTTGCTGTGGGTTGGAGGATTGAATAAGATAATGTATGTAAATTGCTTTGCAAAGCTTAAAGCACTATGTAAATGTCAGCTATTAATGTTATAAGTCAAGGACTTGAAGCAGATTCTGGGATCGACTGAGGATTCCATCAGACATGACAGTATGTGAAGCCAAATGACAATAAATAATACTTATATAGTATTGTTGAGGTTTAGGGGTGCTGGGACCCCTGAGATCACAACATGTGGGTCCTGCCTGAAAGAATTCGACCCAAGCCTTCTTTCAGCCAAAGATAAGGTTTATTAGAACATCCATCATATTGGGCAGATTCTTAAGGAGTCTGAACATTAGTAAGCTATTGACTAGATTTTAAGAATCTAAGCAGTGTCTAGATTAGAAGAATCAGAGCATCTTAATGGAGACAAGATGGACCTTATATACAGAAAGACTATGGGAGGAATCTAGGAGTGGCCAAGTAGTCTGTGAGGTAATAGAACTCCAGGGGTGGCCAAGGGAGAATGGAGCCTAGATAGGATTAAGGGTGGGAAATGGCTGGGGGACATAGGGAGGTATAGGCTAGGTTAAGGGTACAGAGAATTGGGAGATTGTGTAGCCACAAAGAAAGGCCAGTTGATTCTACCTCAAGGGAACTCCAGAGATTTGGCCATGTGGGAAAGTCCAGGGTTTTTCCTTTTTGGGTTCTGGATCCCATCTTCATCAATATGATGTTTTAAGGCTTACAGATATCTCATTTAATCCTCACAACAACCCTGTGTAGTACATGCTATTATTATCCTCATTTTACAAATGAGGAAATCGAGGTTGACCGAAGTCAAGTGATTTGCCCTGGATGACACATACAACCAGTAAATGTCTGAGGCAAGAATTGAACTCAGGTCCTCTCATTACCAAGTCCATCACCCTCTACTACACCAGAGTAGTTTGAGTAATGATGGAATCCCAAAATAACTAGTCCAACCTAGACCCAGGGAGGAACCCCCTCTTTCACATCTCTAGTAAATGGCCATTCAGCCTCTATTCAAAGAACTCTACCACCTAGAGCAGCCTATTTCACTTTTGGACAGCTCTCATCTAATTTGGACAGTTTAGGAGGTTTTACTTTATATACAGCCCAAAGCTCCCTCTGCAATTTACACTCATCGCTAGCTCCTAGTTTGGCTTTTTGGGACGAGGTTGGTAACTCCCATTTATATAAATGAAGCTCATAGTGTTTTTCTCTTAACCACACTATAAAGTAGGCAGGGCAAGCATTACCTCCATTTTATAGAAGAAAACATCAAGGCTCATCGAGGTCAAGAGACTTGCCCAGAACCACATAGTTATCACGTATTATCAAATCAAATTCAAGTCAGAAAATGTCAAAATGTGTTGAAGGCCAGAGATCTTTGCACTTTACCATACTGACTCTTGTGGGTAGTCAGATATCTACTATAGACAGTGTCAGGTGAGGAAAATGAACTAGGTTTGCATGGACTGTGACAGTTAAGTCAATAAATTAAGCTAAAAAAAAATCCATGCTCTGAAAATGTGACTATGGTGTTTTTATAGTTTTTTTTACTTTTCTCTCTCTCTTTTTTTTAGGCGATTGGGGTTAAGTGACTTGCCCAGAATCATATGGCTAGTAAGTAAGTATTTGAACTCAGGTCTTCCTGACTCCAGGACTGGTACTCTATCCACTGTGCCACCTAGCTGCCCCTGTTTCCTTTTCTCTTGGTATTTCAATAAATCAATAAACATTTATTAAGTACCTACTATGTACAGGCACTATACTAAGCACTTAATAAATAGTAAATGTCCCTTTTGAAAAATTCTAATTTTTTTTTTTAATCTGAATTAAAGGGGGAAAGAGATTGGTGTGCTACCAAGACAAGATAGCTGAAGGGATCAGAATAACCTCAAGGGCCAGGGTGGTAGTTGACAACTCATGTCCCAGCCCTGTTCTCAGAAAGAGAGCCAGAGTATCCAGAGCTGAAGGCGAAGTAAAAATGCTAAAGGGGTCCATTTTGGTTTCTGAAGACTGTCGATAAAGCATGTCTCTTGTATCTTGGCAGAGACTTGGCCAGTATGTTGATTTGTTTTGCTTTGTATGCTTATGTGTGACAAAGGGGTAAGGGTAAGTAAGTATGTAGAAAGAAAGAAAGAAAGAAAGAAAGAAAGAAAGAAAGGAAGAAAGAAAGAAAGGAAGAAAGGAAGAAAGAAAGAAAGAAGGAAAGAAGGAGAAAAGGAAAGAAAGAAAGAAAGAAAGAAGGAAGGAAAGAAAAGAGGGAAGGAAGGAAGGACCAAAGTGTTTCAAGGGTAGGTTAGAGGACTTATAGAACTGGGCGTGGTATTTTCTGTTGGATATATGTTTTATTCCACACTTGCTACATAAACATTTAAAAAGTACATAGAAGAAACAAAAAAGAAATTCATAAGGGAGGCATGAAGGTATAGGGCAATTGTATTATTATCTTGTTACATTTACTTTCATTGTAAATAAACTTTGTAACAGAAATTCACAGGTGCACTTATAATCTTTTTTGTTATTTGAATATTGAAGTTGTGTTTGTTATTGTTTATTAAGTTTATAGTGAAAAGGTATCATTTTAAACAATACTGGAGAGTGAGAAACTGGGAACAAATAGAAGAGACAGTTCCAGGCTAAAGTTTACCCTCTTACAGACAGAATTGGGGGATTTAAACCCAGCTATGATCATAGAAGAGAAATTCACAGGCATGATGGAACACTTTACTCTCTACATATCTTGATTATGTATCACCTACTGGGCTGGGCACTTTCTTTTGAGCTACTGCAATTCTGCTTTATTCATAGAGCACAGCACCTCCTTTGATTCCGGCATTCCATGCTGGGTGGTCCTGGGCCAGTGTCTCCCACTTCACACGGTCAATTCCAGAGTTCTTCAGAGAGACCTTGAAAGTGTCCTTTTGTTGCTTCTTCTGACCTCCATGTGAGCATTTGTCTTGTGTGAGTTCTCCATAAAATAGTGTTTTAGGCAAATGTATGTTTGACATTTGAATAACATGGCCAGCTCATCAGAGTTGCACTCTCTGTAGTAGAGTTTGAGTGCTTGGCAGTGATCTTCAGAATATTCCTAAGATAATTTAAATGGAAACAATTCAGTTTCCTGTCATGGCACTGGTATACTTTCCAGGTTTCACAGGCATACAGCAATGAGGTCAGCACAATGACTCTGTAGATGTTTAGTTTGGTAGTCAGTCTAATATCTCTTCTCTCCCATACTTTCTTTCAGAGCCTCCCAAAGACTGAGCTAGCACTGGCAGTGTGTGAGTCAACCTCATCATTTATGTGTACTTCCTTGAAAAGTATACTGCCAAGGTAAATGAACTTATCCACAGCATTCAAAATTTCTCCATTTTCTGTAACTGATGGTTCCACAAGTGGATGGTATGGTGCTGGCTGGTGGAGAACCTTTGTTTTCTTGGTGTTAATTGTCAGGCCAAAATTAGCACAAGCAGCAGAGAATTGATCCATACTTTGTTGCATCTGCATTGAGTGAGAATGAGACTGCGTTGAGTGCCCAATCATTTGTGAACAAAAAAATCATGTACCAACTCTCCCTCCACTTTAGTATAGGCTTGTAGCCTTTCCAAGTTAGATAATTTGCCATCAGTGTGGTAACTGACCTTGAAGCTGTTTTCATCCTCATTGAAGGTGTCTAACATCATTGCTGAAAATATCATGCCAAAAAGCTTGGGAGCAAGTATACAGTTCTGTTTCATTTCACTGGTAACTGGGAAAGTTTGAGAGCATCATCCACTATCCAGAACCTGTGCAGGCATGCCATCATGGAACAGACATACAATACTGATGAACTTCTCTGAGCACCTAGATTTTGCTACAAGTTTCCACAAGCCCTCACTACTGACAGTATCAAAGGCCTTAGTCAGATTGACAGACATTGTATACAGACCTCTGTTCTGGTCCTGCCATTTCTCCTGGAGGTGCAAACACCATATTGACTATTCCTCAGCCCTTTCTGAAGCCACACTGGCTCTCAGGTAGATAGACGACTATCTTCCAGGTGAAGGATCATCCTATTAAGGAGGACTCTGGCAAGAGTCTTGGTGGCAATGACTAAGAGAGAGAGAGAGACACTCTCACCTCCCCCCCCCCACCATGATTGTCACAGGACAACAACCTATTTCCTTTACCTTTATAGAGATGGACAATGGAGGCATCCTTGAACTCCTTAGGGATAACCTCCTTTTGCCATGTAACCTGGAAAATTTCTGTCAGCTTTTGTATGAACAGTGGACCCCCTGCCTTGTAAATCTCAACTGGAATAGCATCAGCACCAGGCACTTTGCCACATGATAGGGACCTGATGGCATTCAATTGGAGGTTCAGCTAGAGAGAGACTAACTTCAACTTGAGGTATACAATCAGTGTCTTCAGCATTGATTATGGTCTGTTGAGAACACTATGGAAGTGTTCAGCCTATCCCTATAGGATCATGTCCTTATTACTAATCAATGCGGCTCCATCAGCACTGAGTAGCTGAGATGCATCATAGATCTTTGGCCCATAAATAGCCTTCAGGGCATCATAAAAGTGCTTTAGATTGTTACCATCACTGTAAAATTGGATTTTATCTGCCTTCTTACTGAGCCAAGAATCCTGCATCTCTGTGAGCTTTGCTTGCACTTTACTTTTGATGGAGTTAATTGCTCTGGTTTTGGGCAAGATAAGGTGAAAGTTCACATATTAGAGTCTTGCACCACTCTGAGGATGATTTTGCCCCTCTTTCTCTTCTACTCTTTTTGTAACAAGTAATGTTTATCTTAGAGCCCAGCTTGCTAAGAGGAGGAAGCCTTTTTTTTTTAACAACAAAAATGGTTTATTTGTGATCCTTGTTTTACACTCTATACATCCATCACAAATATAATTTTACATAATCTGAAACTTCATTTAAAACAAACTTTCAGTGTCTAGTTTTTCCCTTAGAACAGAAGGACTTAAAGGCAGATGAACTATCTTTCTGGTAAACCCCGTGGAATTCTCGTTTTTCACCTAGCAGCTTCTGAATTTCCCCATGATTTTCATCAAACCAAACTTGATGTTTGCAAGTGTTCTGGTCTAGATGAGTAAATGCAGTGTAATACACCAGATCTCTGAAAGCTGTCCACTCCTTTTCTGCTCCACTGTTGACAACTGTGTGTTGGCTCAGCTTTCCTTCCAAGTTAGCCACAAACTGTTCATGCTAGGAAAAGCACTCTAATCTGTTGACATTAAGTCTTCTGGTAGTCCTCTTGCCTTGGGGTCACTGCTTTTGTTGAATATGAATATTTAGCTTGGAGAGGATAAGTCTATGATAGGTCTAGTACTCTGCACTACACATTGCCTTAATCATTGTCATATCCTATCCATCTTGTCATGTTTACTGTGATGGTGTATCCATGAAGTTTTATTGTGTTTAGGTAAACAGAGGACAGTGTTGGCAGTGAGAAGGTCATGAAATGCATAAGTCTTCAGTAGTAAATGACCATTGCTGTTCCTCTTTCTGAATCCATTCCTTCCACGGACTCCTTGCCATGTCTGGTAGTTTCTATATACTCTTGCATTAAAGTCACCCAGAATTATAAGCTTGTCTCCTTTCAGGACATTGATAATGAGGTTCTCCAGGTCTTCACAAAATTTTTTTTTTTATCTCATCGGGGTTCATCATGGTAGGAATATACACACTGAATGATGGTGGCATATTGCTTTCTTACAAGTGGCAATCACATTGTCATGAGCCTGTCATTCATTCCTTTTGGAAGAGATACAAACTTGTTGACTAGATTGGTTTTGACTGTGAAACCTGTGCCAGCTTCACAGTGTTCCCCATCACTGCAGCCACAGAAAAAATGTGTATCTAGCTCCGATTTCAGTAATCTGGCCTTCATTTTCCAGCCTTATTTGACTCAAGGCTGCTATACCCTGAGTGCTAAGTTCATTTTTTTCATATACCTGCTGAGTTCATTTTTAGGTCTACTGGATTTTGTGTTGTCCATAAGTGTGCACATATTCCATGTGCTGATGGTGAGTGGAATCATCTTTGCAAAAGTTTTTGTAGATTTTTTTTGTAGTTTTGACCACAGGATAGGATCTCCACCTGCTGCAGTACTCAGGCCAGGGTTGTGTGAAGCAGACAGTTTTTAGGGCACCTTTTCTAGCCCCTTCCTCATGCCAGGGGATGAATAGTTCGGTCTTCCAAAAAGGCTGCTCAGACATAGGGGGCGATCAATGATCCTATGGCTTGGGCAGGGTTGTGACTATAGCTCCCACTGTTATCCACACCTGTTGCTTCATCACTTGACGATTGCCACAGGGCTTTTGAAGTAGATAAAAATGGTAAAATGGTATGGATGATGTCTTTTGATTTGCACGTAATTTGGATTTAAATGAGGCAGGGTTGCTTGAAGCCCTCAGCCTCACTCTCTCTTTCAGGGTCCTCAGAGTCCAGTGGCAAGACAAAAGTCAAGATGATTGGTAATGGCTTGGGATGCAGTAGCCTCTTTGATGTCCAACAAAGCTCTAAGCACTCCTCAGTGCTTGCTTCAGCCACCTTCATGGCTGTTGGAACAAATTGCTCTCATCCACCTGTTTTGTCTGGTGAATTCTTCACGTGTTTGAGGTAGACACTGCCTCCCCCCCAACCCCAACTAACCTAAGGGCTTGAGACTCTTTGGTTACCCTCAACCTGGTTTAGCCTCTCTGCCAAAATGGTTTACTGGAGTATGGCTACTGCACATGCTATAGTTTCTTGGAGCCACAGGTGAGAGTTGGGTGAATCAGGTGGTCACCAAAGGTTGAAAGCATACCTGAAAAGGGCTCAGCAGCCTTCACATCAGATGGTCTTCCCTGAACACACCCTATGCCCCCTGGCTTGAGATCCAGTGCCCTAGATGTTTTGAGCTCCCATGAGGGATCTGGCTTTGCTAATGAAGAAAGACCATGTGGCAAATGAGTTGCTATTGTTGTATCTAGTCTGGGAAGCCCCAAAAAATGAAAGTTCCTGTTCACCTTTAGGCTTCAAAGATTTCATATAGTTGAGTTTCTTAAACCTGGAAGTTGGGAGGCCAGTATAAAAGAGTTTGGGCTTATGAGTTAGATGATGTAGCATGATTACTTGATAGACCTGGCTTCAGGTGAAGTTTTGTGCTACGTGTAGTTTGTTTCTAACACAACCACCTTTCCTTCTTACCCCATGACCCACTATCCTTTCAGTGTCCTTTTCTGTCAATCTAGAGACTATTCTGAGTTTTATTCCCACATGGCATTGCTCCTAACTGTCTATTAATCTCCTCTAATGTACTGATTAATAAAGTTATAGGTATCACATTTGGGACTATTTGTGAGGCCACTTCTGTCTCCTGATGTTATCCTAACCCATTTTCTCTCTTTAGGTCAAGCAACATCTTTTCTAACCAATTCAGGCAAGGCTCTCTTTTACCAAAACATTTAGGGGAGAAGAAACATCATCTTTCTTATTTCTCCCTTCTAGAATATAATTCTGAACTCCTAATTTCCCCTACAATCTATATTTATTCACAAAGAAAACCAAACATCATCACCATTGGCAAGCATATTTTGAGTGCCTACTATATAAAAGGTATATCCTAAACACTATGGAAGATACAAAGAGGTATAGCATAGATCTTTGCCCTTGAAAGGATTATAGTCTAATTGTAGATATAGGACATGTACAAAAAATGGTTTCTGAATGAATAAGGGAAGGATTGGGATCTAAGTGGAAAGAGCCTTGGACTCAGGGTCAGATGACCTGGGCTCCAAACCTGATTTTGATACTTATGAGATAGTGTAACTCCGGGCTACTCTGGAACTCATTATTTCCCCCCCTGCCCCCAGACCCTTTCAGCTTCTAAATTTATTCCTGTTCAGGGCACTGGCATCCTTCCAGTCACCCCATTCACAACCTTGGTATTGTCTTCACTCACCCTACATATTCAGTTTGTTGCCAAATCTTGTCATTTCTACATTCACGACATCTCTTATATACATCCCTTTCTTTCCACTCATGCAATCATAGCTTTGGTTAAGGTCCTCATCATCATTTGCCTGGATTATTGCAGTAGCCTTCTACCTCATCTCCCTACCTTAAGTCTATCCCATTTTCCAGTCCTTTCTCTACTGAGCTACAAAGGAACTTTTCTAAAATCTCAACCCTCTCTGCCCCCTACACACCCCCTACTTCCTGCTTCTTGAATTCCAATAGCTCTCTATTAACTTCAGGATCAAATGTAAACTCCTCTGCTTGGCATTTAAAGCTCTTTATAACTTGGACCCTTTTTAGTTTTCCAGGCATCTCACAC